TAAGTCTTGCAGTCTTCCCTCCCTATTCCTGAAGGTGATGGCCTTGTTTGTGTTGAAAGCAGAATCTACAGACTGCCTTGTGCAACATGGCCCACAGATTTCTGCTGGACCTTGCCTCAGCCCTGATGTTTCCAGCTGTGTAGACTTCAGGACTGCTGACTTGTAAAACTTGCTTTGCAACTGGTGCAGGAGCCTAGCTGTCTTCCACAGCAAGGAGGGAGACAACTATGGAAGGATAATGCTGGAGACTGTGGTCTTGAATCTTGTGGACAAACAAGCTGTCATTTCTCTTTCTCATGGAACTGTTCAAGCAGATGTATTAAACTTTTTAGCACTACAGTTCTCTCTTGATACTTAAAGGAACATGGAGGAGGCAGTGCACACTTCCTTTCTTCCATGGATGCTCTTCTAGGATCTCTAGTGTTCTCCACAAATGAGGCAGTACAAACCTGGTAGGATCCTGGTCCTGTCTGCTGCTGGCTCTGTCAATCAGCTGCTTTTGGTTTCTCCTTTCTGTCCATCTCATGACTAAGTTAGCTCTGAGTAGAGGAACCACACAAAGGAGTCTTCCACAGCTAATGCTGTAAGATATATTCAGTTGCTGAATATCAACCAGTGGCTGATTGATGTATGCCATGGACTAGGCCTAATGTAGTTCTTTTGTAAGTGTTCCCCTCCCCTCCTTTACTTTCATGCTTGTGTGTGGACTGAAACCTTCCTTTCCATAGTCTCTACCTGGAACAATTCCCGGTTTTGGTTGGTTAGTTGGTTTATTTAGTTTGTTCTCCTTCCATGTTCAAGACTCTATGACCCTGCTATCTGACTTATCCTGACAGTTATTTTTGAAATGACACTAGCCAGGACTCAGCTGGTGACATGAGGAGGGCATGGTTATTTTCTTCTTTCTCTTGCATGAGATGTCGCCGTCTTGCCAGCACTGAAAGAGCAGCATCTTGAGCTGTAGTTATTTACATGAAGGATGATACTGAAAAGACTTTTAGCTCTTTATATTTTGCAACAGTGGAACTACAAAAGGAATTTCACAAAAAGGGAGAAAAACATCAAATTTAAATCTCTTGTGATTTTTTTTTTTTTTTTTTTTTTTAGTTGATGCCTGCTGCTTAGTTCTTGTTGTTTTCCACTGAAACACCCTGTTCAGATGCAGATGAGGTCATCTTAATAGTCAGGTTTTGGGTTTTGCTACGTATGCCCTGTTATGCTGCATGTCTCCACTGAACCATTGTTCAGTTTGCATCACTAGCATTCATGTTAATTCTGTGCCTAAGCTCCTGACTTAAACTTGGCACATGCTCTGGTTGCCATGTTGCTGACCCATGTTCTGGCTACATTAGGAGAGAGCCTTCCTCACCAGCTTGCAGACCCTCAGGCTCTGATGGCTGCTATCAACAGTGTTTTCTGGAACTTGTGAAAACTGAGGGCTGATTTGGTTCTGTCTGTGAGCAGATGTTGGGAGCCTGTTCCTGTGTGTCATCATCATATCATGGCTTGACTTTGCGAGCAAAGATTTAGGAAGGGCTTTACCCACGCTTACTACAAGTGTGCTGACGGCCAACATAAAAGGCCAACATAAGATAGGCAAATCCAGCTGCATAAAAGCACAGCGAAAGGTCTCTTTGGGTGGTATAGGTGGGGTACGATTCTTTCTACGTTGTCTTTTCTCCTCGAGACTAGTTCTGCATGAGTTCTCAAAGGAGTCAATGGCATTATGTATGGTATGTCTCCAAGTCTCCCAGTTGGAGGCCAAGGTGGACCACTGATGGTAGTCAGCATGGCCACGGCTAAGGTATTGTTTCAGGGAGTCCTTATATCTCTTCTTTGGGGCACTTCTCTTGTGACTACTGGTGGCAAGTTCACCATAAAACACGATCTTAAGGAGGCAGTGATCCTTCATCTAGAGACGTGCCGTGCCCAGCACAGCTGCAATTTCAGCAATATGGCCTTGACACTGGTGAGCCCTGCCTGTTCGAGGACAGTGACATTTGACACATAGTCAGTCCAATGGATGCTTAGAATTGTACGGAGGCAGTGCTGATGAAAGCATTTGAGAAGTCGCAGGTGATGGCGGTAGATGACCCATGATTCAGACCCATATAAAAGAGTAGACAGTACAATGGCACTATAGACACTGATCTTTGTACTTTTCTTCAGGTGCTTATTGCACCAGACTCTTTTACGGAGTTTTCCGAAGGCTCTATATGCCTTTGCTATTCTGTTGTCTATCTCTTTGTCGATCGTGGCATCCGAGGAAATAATGCTTCCCACATAGCTGAACTGACTTAAGCTCTGACTTGCCAATGGTAATGTGGGGATGATGGTAATCTTCTTGTGGTGAAGGTTGGTAGAGAACTACTGTCTTCTTCAAGCTGACTTCCAGCCCAAAAATCTCAGCCGCCTCCACAAAGCAAGATGTTAAATGCTGCAGAGCTGCTTCTGTGTGGGCAACAAGGGTGGCATCATCAGCAAAAAGCAGTTCGTGAACAAAATGATTTAGGGTCTTAGTGTGGGCCTTCAGTCGCCTTAGATTGAACAGGCTACCCTCAGTATGATATCAAATATAGATGCCGTTTTGTTTGTCGAGGTCTACCGTAGCCCTTTGGAGCATCGTGCTGAAGAAGATTGTGAATAAAGTTGGTGCGAGAAGGCAACCTTGTTTCACACCATTGGTTGTTGGGAAGGGCTCAGGGAGTGCATCGCCATATCTGACTTGGCCTTGCTGATCCTCATGTAACAGGATAATCATTTTGAGGAACTTTGGGGGACATCCTAATCGTTCCAAGATCAGCCACAGGCCTTTTCTGCTCACAGTGTCAAAAGCTTTGGTGAGGTCAAAGAAAGTTACATAGAGCCCCTTATTCTGTTCTCTACACTTTTCTTCCAGTTGTCTGAGAAGAAGTACCATGTCTGTGGTACTTCTATTAGCTCTGAAACCACACTGACTTTCAGGTAGAAGTTCTTCTGTTATAGCAGGTACTAATTTGTTCAATAGTACTCTTGCAAGAATTTTTCCAGCAATGGAGAGCAGAGTTATACCTCGGTAGCTTGAGCAGTCTGACTTTATACCTTTTTTCTTATACAGAGTGATGATGATAGCATCACAAAAATCTGATGTGTACACTGCAGTTAAGTTGCAAAGATAACTGTTGTAGGTTCATTTTAAACCAACCCATATGCAAAGACATTAACAAGGTATCTGCCAACTGACAGTGGTGCGTAGCTGGAGGTAGAAAAGAACAGTCATTTAAAATATGGATTTAATGATCAGAAGGCAGTTGTTGAGATGGGGGAGAGTGGCCCAGCTCTAACTGTAGCTGTTGTGGATGATGGCTGTTTGACTCTGTGCTAAGCTTTTGTGCATACATAGGGATAGAGGTCCAATATATATTAGCCAGATTGGTAAGGCTGCATGGGTGAGAACTTGCATCTCTTGAAACTAGTGGCAAGCTGTATTTGTGAGAGTTGGGATTTCTGCTTTGTCTCCTTTGTCACGGCCTGACACCATCCTCTTCTGCTCTTGTTTTTGCAGAACATACAGAAGATGCTTGGTCTTGCTCCTTCCCGGGCTGCCACCAAGCAAGCAGGGGGCTTCCTTGGCCCACCGCCTCAGGCAGGAAAGTTCTCCTAAAGCACAGTTAACAACCTTCACAGAAGGTCTGACCAATGCACAAGACTGCCTTTGGGAGGTAACAAGATGGGATCCTGCACCAGGCTTCACAGGTCCGAAACCAGCCTATGCAGTATTTGCCACAGTCTTGGAAACATCTTCCATTTGGAGTATTCTACCAGCAGTTGTTTGCTTATCAAACTAAGAAAGTTCTCAGAAGATGACTTGACCTTTGTTTCTGGTGTTTCTGAGAAATAAATGGCATGGGCATGTTTATTTAGATGTCTCTTAATTGCGTGGTAGGACAAGTAGAAATACATTGATTTAGTGCAGTTGATTTAGTTTACAGCAGGGACGTCAGCTTGGGTGGCAAGAGTGACTTGGTTGCAAAGTAGACAGTTTGGAAAATTCGGAATGATCATACTGTGAAGTGACTCTCTTGTCTTAGCCATACTGGCTATAGTCCTGGGTAGCAGGGAGCTGGACAAGTAGGTGTGGCCTTCACAAAGCTTCCATTGTGGAGGGTGAGATTTTTTTGTTGGCTCAGGTGACTGCAGGCAGCAGAACCTGCCCTGGTGCCAGCTGCTCTTGGAGATTGTAGGTATTTCTGGATGTACTGTCAGCATGTGTCTTCCTGGCAGAGTACGGCCCCACAGCATTTTTTGGGGTGTTCGGTGGCTTCTGTAAAAATTGCTTACTTAGGCAGAATCCGTTCAATTACAGAAACAAACCCGACCTGCAAACTTGAGTGAACTGTTAAATTATGTCTGTACCATCCACTGCTACTCAACTCTTTATTGCCTAAGTGGTTATCACAGCAGTGTTTTTGCTCATGCCCCTTAACTTTACTGCTAAACGGACTGATGATCATCAGTACATCTCTTAAAAAGCTTCACTCTTGGGCCAGGAAGCTCTCTACACTGTCTCCTGCTTCACCAAATAACTGTCTGGATCACTCTTGTTAGCTGGAACCTGCTCACCTTGTTTAAAAAGGGTGAATAAATCTTAGTGCGACTCAAGTTAGGCTGTAACGTGAGGGGCTATTGATTTTCTTGCTTCGATGACCAGAGGTTTATCATAGGGTATGTCTTACTGGGAAGTTTTTTACTAGATGCGTGGCAAAGGGATAAATTTGAAACACCTTACACAGCGTGCAGCAGGTGCAATACCATGTTAAATAGTGAATATTGAGTTAATTCTCGCTGTTTTATAGAGCACGCTCAAGTCGCATCACACCACACGCGGTGTCTTGGGGAGGGGAGCTAGTTGCACACTGCGCTCCGTAATACCTCCGAGCCGCCAGAGGGAGCCCGAGCGCTGGGCAGGGTCGCGGGCTCCGCCACACCTCGGCGCGCAAGCAGACGTCGGGCAGGGGTGTTGCGAAACCCGCGGCCCAGAGGTAAAAGGTGGCGGCGGCGGAAGCGGCGCTAGCGGAAGGGGGTGTCCTGGAGGTTGTGGGTTCTTCGCCCGTGGGGTTTTCCCCACCCACCGCATTCACCCGACGGCCCAGCCGATGCAGGCGCGGACCCGGTTGTCGGCCTTCATTCCTTCTCTCTTCGTGATCCGATCCAGACTCGCCATGAGCAGCGCTACCGGCACCGTCACCATCCACCAGCCCCTTAACTACCGGGCGGGCGCCCGCGTTCATCCGACCGACGGCGGGCAGGCTGAGGAGGTGTATGAGCCTGCCACAGGTACAGCCCCGCTCTGTCTGCTTGGGGTGGGGGGGTTGACCCTGCGCTGAGACGCGGGGTCAGAGCCCAGAGTTGCCGCTTTGTATTTGCCTGCAAGGGTCGGACGCTTTCGACTTCTCCCGCCGTCAGATGCTGCCTGTGAAGGCGTCCTTAACGCCGTGGTGGTCTGAGGGCTGCGTTTTGCCTCCTGCAGTGCAGGTCCATTGTCAGACTCCTCAGCATAAATCAGCTCCGATTTGCTGTCAAACAAATAATCGAGTGGTGCCTGATCTTGGCAAATAACACGATTTAAACATTTCTAAAATTAATTTATGTTTTTATCTCGAGGTATGTAATTTTCAGCAGAATCATTTCAAGAAAGATAGCGCTTAACTATGCAGAACAATATGTAACAGAGCCCTGAGGCTGGTAGTAGAAGTATAACAAGCTCCAATGGGGAACAGAGGAATTTTGTAATGAGTTGAGCTAATTAGTAACCAGAACACGACTATGGAGAATTACAGATATTTAAATCAGAGCAGCTGAATTAAAGTGCCTCTTCTGTAGCCAATTAAAAATCAGTGGAATCACAGCATGAAGTTGTGTAGCCTGGTAGAAATGACTGGACTGAAGTCTTTGTGTTTTGATACAATATAAACTACATTCTTCAGTGCCCCTTTTCTGAGACGTCTGTCTTACTTATTTCATGTTTAAAATGTTCCCAGGTCGTGTGATATGCAAGGTGCTCTGCTCTGGGGAGAAGGAAGTTGATCTGGCTGTGCAGAGTGCAAAGGCTGCCTTTAAAATATGGAGTCAGATGTCTGGGATGGAGAGAAGCAGGGTGATGCTGGAGGCTGCCAGAATTATTCGGGTATGTTGTGGGAGCTCACCTCTTCTCTTGGAGAGGTTCTGTCTCTGAGCTTTCCTGTGGGTTAATGTGGCTGCTGGAGGCTTTCAGCAGGACTTCCTGAGCTCCAGAAGGAACACAAGAGTTAAAACCCACCTGTGTCCAGAAGACAGTAGGCTGTCTTTTGCAGGGCTTTAGTCTGTCGCTCTATTCAAAAGCAGTGTGTAACTTCTCTGCTTAGTTCTGTTAAAAGACACAAAACTAAAGCTATCCAGTTGACATCTTTCAGGGCTCTTACTTTGTTTCATAGCTTCAAAGATAAAGCTTCACTGCATGCAGTTTCAAAGTTGAAATTGCATAACCGTTACATTATTGAACTTTTCAGCTTGTCAAGATGCTGCTGTCACGTGGCTGGAGTAGGCCTTATTTTAGCACTAAAAAATGTTGGAATGCTGACTTTTAGATAGCAGATAACACACTTGGGAGAGGATATGGGAGAGGATACAAGTAAGCTAGCTTTATCACAAACTCCTTTGCAAGATAACATGTTCTTAGATGTTAGCATTAAAGCACAGATTTGTAAGAAACCAGACTTTCTTTCCCTGGTATGTGTATGTGATGATAGAAAATTTTTTTTTTTTTTTTTTTTGCCAAACTTCCACAGCAGGATACTGTTTCTGCCTGGAATATGGTCTGTTAAAGGACAAGTCACAGCTGTGTTGCTTCGTTTGTCCTTCACTAAGTCCTCTGGTTCCATTTTGATCTTGCTGTTTGCTCTTCTTCCCAGTCCATTGTTTGCCAGCTGGCTTCTAAGTTCAGGTTTGCTCATCTTTTAGATAGACAGGGATGGACAGACTGGACAAGCAGGGAACCTCAGTGTTTAACATTCCCCTGCGATCAATTGGCCCAGGGAAATTGATAAATAGCAGTTGGGAATGTACATTTTAGAGATGACAGTTTCTCACAGCAGAGCCTGGCTTACCTGATTGCAGAGTCTTGTTTGGGACTTATGTGCTTGGGAAACAGCTGTCTCATTGTGAAGTTCTGCTATAGGCTTCTCTAACATGTTACTGCTCTGTGCTTCCCACAGGAGCAGAGAGAAGAAATTGCCACCATGGAAACCATCAACAATGGGAAGTCCATCTTTGAAGCCAGAGTGGACATCGACATATCCTGGCAGTGCCTGGAGTATTATGCAGGACTAGCAGGATCTCTAGCTGGTGAGAACGTTAGCAGAGTTTGCTCTTTACTCTCTGTCCTGCCACTTGCATTCCCTGGTAACTTCATGGCACAAGACCATCTTTGCTGCTGATTTCTCTAAGAGATGGACTGTTGCTTTTTTCTGAAGATCTTGGAGGGATTTTCAGAGATCTCTGCCTAATGCTGCTGTGTTCTGTTGCAACTTACACACCTTCTGCGAACTTGCTGGGGTAAAAGCTGCGTGTCTGTTCCAAATTAAAGTGAGTTCTGGCCCCTGAAGCTCTGATGAGACAGGTAGGGGCTTTATTTTTCTTCTGGCTGTTTCTTTTCTTTGCAGGTGAACACATCCAACTTCCAGGGGGATCCTTTGGGTACACTCGGAGAGAGCCCCTCGGGGTGTGTGTTGGGATTGGAGCCTGGAATTACCCTTTCCAGATTGCCTGCTGGAAGTCTGCCCCGGCCTTGGCTTGTGGTAATGGAGACTCTGCCTACACAAGCTTCTCCTTGAAGCCAAATCATCCTGTGGGAAAGAGTGATTTGGGGGATGAAGTCCAGGATTACCTTGAAGGAGTTGTTAAAGGATTAGCAGAACCTTCAAGCTGCTACTCTGGCAGGAAGAGAAAAGAAATGGAAATGAAAACATGGCAGGCACCAAGAAGGTGGGAGTGCATAAGGAGAAAGGCTGATTGCGTGGCTTTGTACCATATAAGGAAGGTCTCTGGAAATGTCTGCAGTGCAGGATCAGCAGCCCCATCTTCCCCGGCCTTTCCCAGTAGGAAAGTGCAGTTACTCTCTTTTGCTGGTTGCAGCGTTTATCTGAAACTGTTTCCCATTCTTTTGGGGGGGATCTTCTGGGATATGTTGAGACAAACTCATTGTGTGGGGTGAGGTTTTTTGTTCGTTTGGGTTTTTTTTTCCTCCTTTTAAAGTATTTCAGGTGTTAACCCCGCCTTGCCTCTGTCTGCATTCCCCTAGGCAATGCAATGGTCTTCAAGCCTTCTCCCTTCACCCCCGTTTCAGTGGTGAAGTTGGCAGAGATCTTCACAGAGGCTGGTGTGCCCAAGGGGCTGTTCAACGTGGTGCAGGGTGGGGCAGCCACGGGCCAGTTACTCTGTCATCACCCAGATGTGGCCAAAATCTCTTTTACTGGCAGTGTGCCAACTGGCATGAAGGTAAGGGCACCTTTGCAGTCAGGGATGCAAGAGGTCTGTAGTGCTGGCCTTTGTGGTGTGTTGTGGATGCCAATACCTTCTTGAGCTTTTGTGCATGAGGCTTATAAAGATGGGGTGGGAGTCAGTACATTTCATTCTGAGCAAGGACCTTGCACATACAAATGACACAGAGTTACTCTAGGGCTCCCATTAGCCCACTGGGCACTGGCTCAGGCGCTCAGTCATTTTAGAGGAACCCCATGGTCATCTTCCCTTGTGTAGACACTGATTGCAGTGAAGTCTCTGAGCTGCTACAGTGGCTGTCTATGTGGGGAAGAGGGTATGTAAAACACCAGTGCTAGGAAATTATATGAATGTTTTTGGCAGTAATAGTTCACTTTAGCTGCTTAGAGTCTACTGGTTTTAAGCAAGAGGTCAGTTTCTCTGAATTTCTTATGCTCAATTAATTCTTCAAAAATTAAAAGTCCCTAGACATCTAGAAATCTGATTTGAAAGAGGGGAACCTCATGAAGATTAATAAGGGCAAGTGCAAGGTCCTGCTGTGGGTTGGGGCAATCCTAAGCACAACTACATGATGGGCAGAGACTGGATTGAGAGCAGCCCTGAGAAGGACTTGGGGGTATTGGCTGATGAGAAGCTCAACATGAGCCAGCAGTGTGTGCTTCCAGCCCAGAAAGCCAACCGTATCCTGGGCTGCATCAAAAGGAGTGTGACCAGGTGACCAGTAGGTTGAGAGAGGGGATTCTCCCCCTCTACTCTGGTGAGACCCCATATGGAGTACTGCTCTGGGCTCCCTAACATAAGAAGGATGTGGACCTGTTGGAATGAGCCCAGAGGAGGGCCACAGAGATGGTCAGAGAGCTGAAGCACCTCTGCTATGGAGAGGTGCTGAGAGAACTGGGTTTGTTCAGCCTGGAAAAGGCTCCAGGGAGACCTTAGAGCAGCTTCTAGTACCTAAAGGGGGCTTACAAAAAAATCTGGAGAGGGGCTTTTTACAAGAGCATATAGTGACAGGACAAGGGAAAATGGCTTTAAACTGAAAGAGGGTAGACTTAAATGAGGTACTAGAAAGAAATTCTTTACTGTGAGGCCGGTGAGGCAGTGGCACAGGTTGCCCAGAGAAGCTGTGGCCGCCCCATCCCCGGCAGTGTTCAGGGCCTGGTTGGATGGTGCTTGGAGCAACCTGGTCTAGTGGAAGGTGTCCCTGCCCATGGCAGAGGGTTGGAACTGAATGACCTTACAACCCAAACGATTCTGTGAAATGTTGCCCTTGAACACAGTACATGTGTGTACCTGTGGGGTGCAGTGACACAGATACAGTTACAGCTGTCCTCAGCTTACACTGAGCACAAGACTTCCTGTAAATGACTCTTCAGGTTTTGTTGGTTTTATCTTCAGAAAATAACAAGAATCAAACCCTCTGAAACCATCCCCAGTTGAACTACACACATCTAGGAAACCCAGCTTGCCCTTTGTGCTGCTTCTATAGGTGAAGGGCCCTGCAGGAACTCACCTTTTGGGTCTCTCTTCCCTCCCTCCACCAGGCTTCTCTTTGCCAGTGGGTCACTTGTCTCTTCTGTCCTTGTTTCCCTCAGATTATGGAGATGGCAGCTAAAGGCATCAAGCCAGTCACCTTGGAGCTGGGGGGCAAATCCCCCCTTATCATCTTTTCAGACTGTGCCCTGGAGAATGCTGTGAATGGAGCCCTCATGGCCAACTTCCTTACACAGGGTGAGGTGTGTGTCCTTGCGGCAGGAACGATCCTCTCCAGTGAGGTGGAGGGTTTGAGAATGGGGCAGCAGAGCCAGGCTCTGCCTTTTGTAGTGAGGGATGCCCTGATACCCCTATCTTGCCATGCATTTCCCTGTGCAGTGTCACAAAGGATCGGAATGGATGTCCTTGCAGAAGGTAGTAGATATTGTCCCAGCAGAGTGTGTCTTACCTGATGCCCTGTCCTTCCCAGAAGCGGAACTTCTCTAACAACCAGTACCCAGCTCAGAGCAGCTGTTCCTGTGCTGGTATCCTCTGGAGGGGCAGCAGGTTCTAGTCTCGTGTGCTAAGCCATGACCCTATGGGACTCTGTCTCTCCCAAGTTTGGGATCTCCACATGTGCTGCAGGCTTTTTTGAAATCCTGCTGGCAAATGGGCTTAACAGGTTCATCTCTGGGAACTGAAAAGTCAGCTAAAATTCTCTTCTGCTTGTGACTTGATGCAGTTTTGCTACCTGATTGCGTCAGTACTATTACGTCCATCATGGACTGTTCAGTGCAGTTATGAGCAGCAGGGTAATGTAGTCTTCTTTGTTCCCAGGGGCAAGTTACCTTGTTTAGTAGCTGTGGAGGTGATTTCCTGAGAACCTTTATAGCAGGAGCCAAACAGGGAAAGACTGTGGAGTGCTTGTTGTGTGTCATGTACTGAACCACCTGTGCTGTATCTCAGGTGTGCTGCAATGGCACGCGGGTATTTGTGGAGAGGAAGATACTGGATGTCTTCACAAAGGAGGTGGTGAAACGCACACAGAAAATCAAAATTGGAGACCCGCTTCTGGAAGACACACGGATGGGAGCCCTCATCAACCGACCCCACCTGGATCGTGTCCAGGGCTTTATCAAGCAGGCGAAGGAACAGGTGAGATTGTGATGCTGCCTTGTGACTGCCCTGAAATATCACTGTCTTGTTAGACAAACAGTCCAGAGCTGCTTTCCTGCCCCATGTCTTCCAGTTCAGCTCGTTTTATTTCTCTGTTGTGGTTGAATTACTCAGTAAGTGTCTTGGGCCACTAGATAACATAAGACTGTGGGACCTGATGAGATGCATCGTAGCATCCTCAGGTAACTGGCTGATGTAGTTGCCAAACCACTCTCCATGATACCTGAAAAGTCATGGCAGTCAAGTGACTGGAAAAAGGGAAACATTGCACCCATTTTTAAGAAGGATACAGGAGGACCCTGGGGACTACTGACCTGTCAGCCTCACCTCTCTGCCTGGGAAGATCATGGAACAGATCCTCCTAGAAGCTGTGTGAAGGCATATGGAGGGCAGAGCAGTGATTCAAGACAGCCGGTATGGCTTCACCAAGGTCAGGCAAGTCCTGCCTGAGCAACCTAGTGGCCTTCAGTGATGGAGTGACTACATTAATAGACAGAGGAAGAGGTATGGATGTTGTCTATCTGGACTTCTCTAAGGTCTTTGACACAGTCCCCCACAGCATCCTTCTTTCTAAATTGGAGAGAGGTGGATTTGATGGGTGGACTGTTTTGTGGATGGGGAATTGGATAGTTGCATCAGAGGGTAGTGGTCAGTGGCTCAATGACCAGATGCAGATTGGTAATAGTGGTGTCCCTCAGGGGTCTATAATGGGACCAGTACTGTTTATATCAGTGATGCAGGCAGTGGGATTGAGTGCACCCTCAGCAAGTTTGCTGATGACACCAAGCTGAGTAGTGCAGTTTACATGCCTGAGGGATGGGATGTCATCCAGAGGGACTTGGACAAGCTTGAGTAGTGGGCCCATGTGAACCTCAGGAGGCTCAACAAAGCCAAGTGCAAGGTGCCGCATATGGGTTGGAGCACACCCTGGTATCAATACAGTCTGGGAGATGAAGGGATTGAGAACAGCCTTGAGGAGAAGAACTCGCAGGTACTGGTGGATGAAAAGCTGGATGTGAACCCACAGTGTGCACTCGCAGCCCAGAAAGCTGACTGTATCCTGGGCTGCATCAAAGTGTGACCAGCAGGTTGAAGGAAGGGGATTCTGCCCTTCTGTTCCACTCTCTTGAGAGCCCACCTGCAGTACTGTGTTCAGCTCTGGGCTCCCCAGCCTAAGAAGGATGTGGACCTTTGGAGTGAGCCTGGAGGAAGGCCACAAAGATGGTCAGAGGGCTGGAGTACCTCTGCTGTGGGGACAGGCTGAGAGAGTTGGGCTTCTTCAACCTGGAGAAGAAAAGACTCCAGAGAGACCTTATTACAGTCTTCCAGTATCTAAAGGGGGCTATAAGAAAAATGGGGGTAAACTTTTTAGCAGGGGCTGTTGCAACAGGACAAGGGATAATGGTTTTAAAGCAAAAGAGGGTAGATTCAGACTACATATATGGAAGGAATTATTCACTGTGAGGGTGGTGAAACACTGGAATGGGTTGCCCAGAGAGGTGGTAGATAACCCCATCCTTGGAAACAATTCAAGATCAGCTTGGATGGAGCTCTGAGCTATGCCAGCTGTGCAGGATGCTCCTCTGCTTGGCTCTTTTTCAGGGGGCAGAGGTTCTGTGCGGTGGGGACCTATATGTGCCAGATGACCCGAAGCTGAAGAATGGCTACTACATGCGACCCTGTGTGTTAGGTATGATCCTTCCTGTTCATGATAGTGTAGTCTTCTACATGGGTATTGCTGAGTTTCTTCTAGAGAAAGCTGTGTTCAGTGTAACCCGACTGTATATGTCCACAGTGTGGGCAGACATTCATATGGGTATCCAGAGAAATCTCTGGTGTTGAAGGGTCTGACGGGAATCATGCAGTTTGTGCCTTTGCTGCCTTGAGATGCAGGATGGGGCTTGCTCCTTTGCTAGCCAAGCCAAGGGGGAGAGGGGGCTGTGCAGTGCTGAGTGCTAGCTTGAAGGCTGTGTGGGTTGCTGAATGCACAGGCTGTGCAACCTAGATCTTCCTCTTAAAGCCCATGTGCTCTGCCATGCTTCCAGGGAATTGTACAGATGACATGACATGTGTGAAGGAAGAGATCTTTGGGCCTGTCATGTCCATTCTGCCATTTGACACAGAGGAGGAGGCTGTGGAAAGAGCTAACACCACCAAATTTGGCCTGGCAGGTGGAGTCTTCACCAGGTACGACTGGAAAGTGTGACTGGTGTGGAAGCAGTCTAGGGAGGGGACAAGAAGGGAAATACTGTGACAACTTGATGTTTGTCTTGCAATCCCTGGCATACACATGGATATCCTCTTCCAGAAAAGCTGGAGCAAGGGATTGCCAAGAGGGAACTTTATAAATGACTATGCATCTCCTCCCATTTTTTTCTGAAGGGCTAAGTGGGCCCAGCTGTTCTTCAGACTCCTTCCAGCCTGTGCTTGGCCTGCTGCCTGCCTTCCTGCATCTCCAGGTGACATGCAGCAGGAGCCTGCTATGCTGCTGAAAGCATGCAAAGACAGCTGTTGGCTGTTTGCCATAGTCTGCTTTGCTGGTGTCCTTGTCCTGCCTTTTCAAATCAGTTTTGAATGTACTTGGGAATAGGTGATGTGTCCTTTGAGCTGGCAAAGACAGAGTAGGGGAGGTCAGACTCTGAAAACCGCTGTGACCTGTGGACCTTTCTCTAGTGGTGTGTTAGCTGGCAGGGAAGGAGGGGATGAATGGGAAGGGATACAGCTAAACTGCCCTTTTCCTGCAGGGATATCCAGAAGGCTCACAGGGTAGTGGCTGCTCTCAAGGCTGGGATGTGCTTCATTAATAACTACAACCTCAGCCCTGTGGAGCTGCCTTTTGGAGGATACAAGGCATCAGGTGAGCTCTGTTTGACCTTCCCTGGTATGACTATGTGCCAGTTAGACGGGGGTATGAGTGGTACCTGGTACTGCATGGAGCTGTGTTCTCACTTCTGGCTTGTCCCTGCAGGATTTGGCAGAGAGAATGGACGGGCAGCCATTGAGTACTACTCACAGCTGAAGACTGTCTGCGTAGAGATGGGTGATGTGGAATCAGTGTTTTAGTGCCTCTGGGGTTGGCTCAAGGGAGCATCAGCCAGTTCTTGCTTGTTAGACAGAGATACGGATCATGTACACAGCAATAAAGTGCTCTAAAATTGTAAGTAAGTGAAGTGCCTAGGAGGGGAAACAGTGCTGGAGCAGCATTTATCCACCCTCCCCCTGCAATATAAGGGCCTGCCTGGTGCAGGATGGGAACCTCTGAGTAGGAGGTAGCAGTGTGGCTTTCAGCAGCAGCTCATGCAGCTAAGTAGGTGTTACCAGAGGTTTATCAGTAGCAGAGGTCTTGCACAGGTTCTTTCTGGTGCAGCATGCACCTCCTACCATCAGTCAACTTTTTAAAAGGTATGTCCCTACTCATGCACATATAAGCTCTTGGACATTGATACCCTGTAGCTACAGGCTCCATCTAGTCTCTGACTACATAAAAGTCTTAAAGGTAGGATTGGTCATTTCCTCTAGCTCCCATAACACAAGTTTTGCTTTTTCTGTCTGTGCCTCACTTCCAAGGGGAACAAGCTATTGTGGGGATGTTTAGCTAATGCCACCTGGGACAGGCATGGCCCTGAGAATCATCCCCACAGCGCAGGGATCACAACCAGGGTCCAGCATAGGTTAGAGGCCTGCTGCTCTTAAACAAATGCTATTTGACTTCCTTCCTATAAGCCTACTCTTCTTTATAAAGATGATCGAGCAACAATTTTAAATGCTTGCCAACAGCGTTTTTTTGTTTGTTTTTTTTTTTTGTAGCAATCAAATAAGTATTAACTCTGGAACATGTTCTTGTATTGTGACATGAATTGAGAGGTCCAGAAATACGGTTGTTGCTGTATGTGTTAAACAAGTTGGAAGATGGCTTTTCGGTCACTGAAATCATAAAACCTAGAACATCTCTGTGTGACAGGCAGATTTCTGTGAGTCTACAAAACCAGAGTTGTTCTGGCATTCTGCAGACTTCTTAAGAAAACCCTCTGTATCTTTAGAATGAAAATACGGAATTGACAGCTTCATTTTATTGAATGACGAAAGGCAAAAAGAACCGCAACAAAACCCAGGAAATGTTCTACAAGAAAACAAACTAAAAATCCCTTTGATTTCCCAGGTAGCCATTAGGATGTCAGTTCTTGCTGATCCAGCCGAGGTGCTGGAAAGCTGAATACACGCCTGTGCCCACCATCCCAATGAGTGCAAGTGAACCAATGGCCCCTCTGCTTCGGTTTTTTGGTTCTGAAAAAAGAAGATGACATGTTCGGTCAGTTCAGCAGCCCATCACTGGAGGAAGAGCCCATACTGAAAATTAAAGAGGAAGCATGAACTCAAGATAAATCACAAGGCAAACCAGCAGGCACCAGCTCAGGCCATGTACCTACCATCAGTGTGCACTATTAGTAGACTAGTGCTCTTCCTATCAGTAGGAAGAGCATACTGCAGCATTAGCAGCCTGTGGACCTGCACCCTGTTCTCTATACCCTGACTGGAAGCTTTATGCTGCTTCTTTGATGTGAGCTGGAGTTAAAAAGCTCTGAGGCCACTGCAGGAGACTTGAGTTTCTAAGCACCTGCTGCGTGCTGCAGACTAAAGACCTACCTCCTGTGTAGTAACCATAGGCATAAAGGAGTCTTCCAACGATCCAGGTGAGGCCAAGCCCTGTAGCAATCCGCTAGAGAAAAAGGAGAAGCATTAAGGTTTTGGAGACATGCTGCTTGCATGTGCTTAGGTGTTCTAGCAGCCCTGCTTCAAAGAAGTAACCAGCAATTGCAGCAAGGGTCCTGATCTTGCTGGGACAGCTGGGAGTCAGCAAGGAGGAGGTGGGTGACTGATGCAGTGCGCTAGATTGAGTTTTGTATAGGAGGAGTCACTTTCATGACATCTTTGGGGAGAGAGCATGCAGTGTGCTGCTGAGCCTTGCTCTTGCAGCACAACTCCTCCCAGGCAAGACATGGATAAGTCGTACAGGCAGCAGCACTGTCCAATTAATGAGCAACACCAAGTGCCAGGATCTTGGAGGCAGCTGTTGTCCCAAGCCCCACTTCAGTGCCTACAGTAGATGCACACATTTTTCTGTTTTGGGTGTTACAAGTTTCCACTTGGAACCTGCTGCAGTGTGACTCCGGTTTGTCAGATTTGCCTATGCTACTTCTTTCCCTCTCTGAAAAAAAATATTCAAGAAGGACCTGATTTGTCTCTTGGTGGCAAAAAAAGAGCTACTGATTTTGGCCTCTCCCACACGCCTGCCTCCTCCCGAGTTGTCTACATCTTTCAGTGAAAAATAATCCAAGCTTTTTTTGATCCTTCACACACCTCCTTTGGTGGTGGCAGTGAGTGTGAAGATCATAGTGCTCCCCACCTATTCTTACCAGATAAAACTCCTCATGAAAGTCTGTTTAGATAGGGGGAAAAAGCATTCTTGCTGAGTAGCACTAATGGAAGCCCAGCAGGACCCTGCAGGCCTTGGAAAAAACAGGCAGGCTTGGAGGGACCCTTCCACTCACAGACTGGAGGCTATGAATGCTTCTCTTTCTCCAACAAGGCAGCCTTAGGTGTAGGGAAGAGGTCTAATACCTGAAGTAGCAGGAACAAGTTTATTAAATACTTGTGATTTCTCTGCACAAGACCTCTACAACTACATTTTCAAAAGGGGCACAGCTATGAAGCATGATGTGGCTAGTGAAGCTGCCTGCTGCCTCACACCCTTCCCAAGTCAGAGGCCAAGAGCAAAGTTCAGTCATGCAGACCTGCACTGCAGTGTCACTTACTGGGTGAAAGACTCCATCAGTGGCTAAAAAGAACAGGAAGACAGGGTAAACTTCCAACCTGAAAATAAAAGCAAGGAGGTTATGTTTGTGCTCAAGTTGCTTACAGAGAGCAAACTCCAGAAATGCACAAGCTGTGAGCATCACCTGCCAAGGTCACTGTTGGGCCTGACTGTTACAAGTCTCCATGCTTGATACTGCGGCCACAGATGGAGGAAAAAAGAAATCTGAGCATGCACAGATTTTCTGTGCCATAAGCCCCTGCTAAATACTACTTACCATCAGCTAACCTAGGAGTTGTTACTTCCTGGTCTAGCATAGCTGGGTGGACTTAGGCCTATTCCCAGGGAGACCTGGACATCACAACAGATCAGCAGCCCCCCGATGGACTCTCCAGAAACAAGATTTTTAGTGTCTAGATTCACCCATGGAGGCAAAAAGCCAGACACTGGGAAGAGGAGGCTGCTTCACAGCCCTGTCTCATGGTTTAAGGCATGGTAAAGAGCCAGCATGGCCTTACTGCTAAGTGTTACACAGCAGTGTGTCTTCCTCAAGCACTGAGGATGAACCTAAGCATTTGTCAGCAGTGAGTCTCTAGCTGTAGGGCCTGCTCCACAATCTGGGCTCTTTCCAAGGCCTGCATGCATACATGTTACTTACGTGTTCTGGTGTGCACGCTGGATGCAGTTGAACATACGCCCATGTTCAGGGTCTGTGCTGTACATGATTGGATACTGCCAAAAAGAATAAAGTAGCAGCAAAATATGAGCAAGTGCAGTCTGGGCTCAGAAGCCTGTTCTCTAGCAATGGAGCAAGCCCTGCTGCACCTCTCCCTGGAAAGCCCAGTGCTCCCTGACTGCTTGCAGAACTGACTTGCACTGGCAAGTTAGAGCCTGTCTCCTGCCCTGCATGCAGCAAATGCTTTGTTGAAATTTCTTGCCCCAGGCTGCTTCTTGAGCTCCCTGAGCAACATAACCGTCCCCTGCTTTGAACAGAAGATAGCCAGGCACTGTGTGACCTCCCTGTTTAAATCCTGTCTCTGGAGAGGAGAACAAAGCACCCTTACCAAAGATGTGCCCCCACATCTCCTCTGAGCTGGCAACAGCCCATCACCCAGGAACAGCCCTGGGAGGACATGTTTGTTGTAACCCTGACTTCATGCAGTAGGAGAGGTGTCACCCCAACAGGCACCATGGCCTGCAGCACATGCCCAGGACTGACGTTGTGCCCACCGCTTCTTCTGACTTCCCATAAAGGAGCATTTGCGCTGGAGCCAAGTGGCACAGAAGCCTCTGCATGCCATCACCCTGACTCATGGACAGGACTGGCTGCCCCCACCTATCCCACAGCCCTGCCAAGCTCAAAGGCTCCTCAATGGATGCTGAGGGAAGGTCACTTTGGAAGACTTCTTATGATAGGGCTCACATGACCCCAAGTTTGAGAAACCCTCCAGTCACTTTTTTTCCACTATTATCTCTTTGCCCAAATGCTGCATCAGCCTTCTTTGCAGGGGAAAAAGGGATGTGCAGTTTCTTGTTCATTAGTGATTCCAAGCTCAAAGCCTTGTGCTTTCAGCTGTATTGGTTTGGTGGGAATCACCTCATGTCCCAAACCCCAAGCTCTGTCATGCCATCTGCTCCAGTCCGGAAAGCCAGAATGGCAGCTCCCCTTCTATATCCATGTGGTGGGGCAGGAAATGTTGGCAAATCACCCAAAATAAGCAAGGGGTCACCTAGCTTGTCTGCAATATCCTCTGCAGACTGGCTCCAACCTTCCTGTTCCATCAGCCTGAGCACTCACCTCCACATTGTACTTCTTGCGAGCCTTGGCCACTTTCACCGCAAGATGCATGACCAAGAAGAAGCTGGCAGCCCCTGTCAGGATGACGTAGCCATACTCCTTGGAGAGAACAGCCATGCTGGTGCTGTCAGAGAAAGAGAGCTTGTTACTATTTCAGGGTGTGACTGGAGAAGTGTCAGCTCAATACATGCAGGTATGTATGTGGATGACTTGCTGAATATGGACCCAAGACCTCCCAGCACAGAGACTGGCTGAAGGAAAACAGAAACAGTGAGTGGAGGAATTTTTTCTTGGTGCCTGCTGGCTATTAAGCAGCACAAACCAAGGGCTCTCTGAGCAATTCCTGTCAAGTAAGCCTTAAAATGGCATAAGTGTTGGTGGGAGGTGGTGTATGGAGCACCCGAGTTCTGCCGCTGGCTCAAAGCACGACTACGGCCAACAGTAGGTTCCATCAGCTCTGGCTGCGGCTGGCTAAGTCCTATCAACTCACTGACACTGACTGTGCTGTGCCCACCCAGACGTTCTGGAGGGGTGGATGGGAACTGATTGTT